CACCGGCTGTCTCGTATCTTCATTCCTAAATGAGGCTTATTGGATCAGTTTAATAGTTTATGAAACTAATCAGAGGATATCCAGCCTACAAAATTGAGCAATTGGTGAAATATGTATAATATCGTCAGATATCGGGTCTAGAAACTATCCTCACAGAAGAATTATTCTGTCAGATTAACCAAATCAAACTGAAATTCCCCATCGGGTTAGACGAAAACTACAGACTAAAAGCCAAACCAAACAGCTATTAAAGAGTTATAAACTGTCATAATAAACTAAAGACACAAGATCTCGTGCCCGTGGTTCTTTGACAGCGATATGGCTGTCACAAAGCCCCCGAAAAAGAATATCATATAGTTCTTCAAAAGCGAATACAGGTAAATACTTGGTTTGTGGTCCACGAAACATGTAAGATAATTCTCGACGCACTCATATCGAAGTTAACAGGAAACTGTCACGCCAAGGCCTTTGAGATCAGGTAACGCCCGTTATAAATGATAATTGTGTGCGTAAAATCGGATTGCCAACAGGATAGAACTTTTCATGTATGGCGAGCGATACTCGTTTTCCTATTGGACGGAAGTGTTCTCGTTTACTGGTTAGTTTTCCAAAACCACGAATGCATATGCAGCAGCCAAAACACCAATCGAACCCCAAAAAACTATTCTATTTATGATTTAACATTCAGTTCGCTTATATTGGCGTTCAGTAACATCCCTAATGCCTCATAGGTAGCAGATTTGTATTCACATAATAAATTCGTGAAAATTATAATGGAATATTCAAAGATAAAATGATAAACTATGAATAAAACAATAACATAAACCAGCAACAAACATTATTTAAAACTTCAGCAAACATGAAATAAAATAATATTAAACAACTACAGAAGGCAATGTAGGATAACTTAACAAGAAAACAAAATATAAAGAACGATAAACGAAACAGTAAGTATAAAGAGACAACAACACCTAAGCAAACGCCAATAGAAAATAGCTAAAACAATAGTAAGTTATGAATAGGGAGCTCAAGGGTGTGGGCTCTTGGCCCTACTTGTGTGTTGTTTAAACTTATCAATAACCAA